AGTACGAATGGCTATGTTATTGCTCAAAAGCGTAAATCGATGATCGGCCGTCACCGACGATCGAATCGCAACGTTTGTATGCATTTTGCAATTTTCGTTCATTGAGGCCGAAGTAGCGGTAATACCCACGCCTGCGTGCCGATTTCGAAAAACGTAGGCGACCGCATCGGTGTCGAACGAGACACGCCGGAAAATTGGATGCCGCGGGCAAATGTGCGCGCGGTGCGCGCGTATTTTGCAATTTTCGCTCATACGATCGGCAATCCCGCCACGTGCACGCACCGTGCCGCGTTACGTGGATAATGCAAAGAATTATACCGTGAATATTTACGTCGTTTTACGTTTTGATTAAAACCAAAGTTATGTTAAAGCGGACCGTGTCTCCGCTGGAAAATCGGGAATTGCGGTCTCGGCGGACCGCTTTTAAATCCCCGTATTTGCACAGCGCGGAATGTATTGTCGCGGTGGACTCCGATGCGCGGAACTTTCCGGCGCGAATGTATTAATTATACATTTGTGCGCGCCGACCTGTGGCGGTGAACATTGTATTCATTGAATTCCGACCGCGAGCTTGGTGAAAAATGAGAAGGAGAGGCGCATTCTCCTAGAAAATTAACATATTAATAATTTATTTTGCAATACTGCGAATTAGATTAGATTGTTTTGCTGAAAGTTAAAATTACGCAACAATTCTCGTTTTATGATTAGCATACTTGAAGTTTATTTACATTATTTAGATTATGAATATTTGCAAGTATGCTAATTAAATTTTGTTCTTTTATTTTAATTTATCTTGATAAAGATCATTAAAGGATATACATATTTAGGATTTTTTTAGGAATTTTAATAATAAGTCTTACGTGTTTTTGAAATGAGAACTGTGACGCAGGTTTTTCGAAAAGTATCTCGGCTGATCGAAAGTCGCCGCGAAAGTACGCCGTGTTACATAAGTCCGGCCGAAAATGAGATGTACCTCTTTCACGTCGTCATAACCATCCGACAACTTTCCTTTTCACGGATTATTCAATCCGTGTACTTTCTCCTATTCATGGCCAAGACATTCCGCATTTACCGCGCGTGTCGTATTCCCGGAGTTTACAAATTGCAAATATATCTTTATGATTGGCAATCAATGACTATAAAAAGCAGTCATATTTAACTTTAAAAATAGTTAAGTTATATTAAAATATTGCTGCTTCTAGTAAACATCTTTATATTATTCATAAGTATTTAATTTCTATAATGTTTGCATATTTCTCTCATAATTCTTATAAGATTTGTGTGAAAGTACACATTATTTTTAATTTATTTGCTTTTTGTTGACAAAATAGCATTTTATTAACATTTCTTTATTTATTAACATATCATAATTCTTATAAGACTTATTTAAAAATACATATTATTTTTAATAATTTATTTGTTTTTTGTTGATAAAATAGCATTTTATTAACATATTTTTTAAATGTCTGTTTTTTTCAACAAGAAGTTTCTTGCACATTATATTCTTTCTTTCTAAAACTTGCTAAAATATATTATAATTTGATTAATAATTAAATCATTATTTTAATGCAATTTTTTCTTAAAAACACATTTTTTGTTTAAAAAAATTTTAATGTATTACAATAAAGAAAATGTACATTCTAAAATTCGAACTTAACAAATATTATGATATAACATAAGATATAAAAATAAATAGAATGTACATTTTAACATTCTAGACCATTTCTTTTTCTAAAATATAAGATTTTATTGCATCGCAATAAAGTTCTAGGCCTGTCAAATGATATGATATAATTCTAAAGTATAAAAATAAATAAAATATATATTGATATTAAAATGTATCTTTTATTTATATTTTTATATCTAGACTTAGAATTTTATAGAATGTACAGTTAGAAGCATCGAAAACTATCCACTCGGATACTCCCACCACTTTTCAAAAGCATTAGAATGAATGGAGTGGATTGGAGTGGATGCCATGTGGAGTGGATAGCTTTTTCTTTATTGCAATGTATTGAAATCTTAGAGTTTAAAGACAAAAGTAGTCGAGAATAAGATTAAAAAAAAAAGAAAACACTTGAAGAAAATTCTGAACGTTGATAATTGCAACATAAATAATAAGTAACTTATTTTCAAAGCGACTCGAATAAAAATATATTTATTACGGCCACGTCCTATATTTATTACGACCATGAATGGATTTCATTCTCGTCCACGTGTTAAACGAAAACAACGTCGATGAATAGCAAAATAAATCGACGCAAAAAAAAGCGAGTTCCATTAGAAAGTATAATGAAGCAAACTAACAGCATTGTCTCGATGTGTAATGCTTTTTTGTTTTCGTTTTTTATGTATTTACAATATTTCTTTACGCCACATTCCGCTCTCGTTACACGTGTAATTACGACGAGATAAAACCTGCGGTTTATTAAACGGCAGAAGTAGAGAAAGAAAAATTGCAGAGAAGGGACGATTGTGAAAAACATTAGTCCTGTATTAAAGCTGCCCTGCCAAAGTTTTCAGATATAATTTAAGTGGAATCAAAAGTTGCAGATAACGAATAGAGTAAATGTAGCGCGCGTTATCTTTTGCGCGTCTTCATCGTCCTCCCGGCCGCGTAAGCGAATATCCTCGGAAGAGGAGAATCGCCCTAGGATCCTCGCGCCGCGCTTAATGTCCCGGAAGGATCCGAGCTTTATATTTACTTTTATGCCTGCGTAAATGCCGGCCCGCTCTGACGCATCTCAGGCCCGATTTTTATCGGCGCGGATCGCTCCGGGTTAAACCGATCAAGATGGAGAGGCTAAAAAGCCGTTTTGCGTTTATTCGTTATATCCTGGCGCCCCTTCGAAGCCAGCAGCGGATGCGGAGTCGTAAAGGGGGGAGGGAAGGGCTTCCTCTCTATCTCGAGGCAGGAGGAAGACGTCTTCCGCGGAGTCATGCGTGACGAAACTGCTGCGCTTCTGCTTCTCTCGACAGCTCCAACAGCTCAACGCGATATCTGTTCGTCTCAATTCGGTTTCAGTGGGGTCCGGGCAATTTTTCGGAGCGCAAGATCGTCGGCAATTCTTGACGTCACAGTTGACTTTGATTTTCAGTTCCCACCGAGGAAATCCGAGGAAATAGGTTCGCGGAGGGTTAGCGTGCGAGAAAAATCGGAGGAACGCGACTTGACTCGCTGCTCGTATTCCGCGCCAATAATTTACTTCAACAGCACTTTCTACTGCGTGATCACTGTGTCATGTACATAATTTTCAAAAGGAGAGCTTGGGATGTTGGTTTGCTTAAAGAGAAATTCGGAAATTTCAAGTTGTGTGACACAGCAAGAAGAGTAACATTTGATTTGTTTAACCTCGTCTAAAAATGTAAATAAAAATGGAAGTAGAGAATCAAAGTACAGAGAAAGGTAGCGTACGGTTTTTCGTTGAACGTAACCGGACTTTATGCGGCAACATTTTACCGGTTGCCATCGATATCGAAAGTAAAAGGTGACTCGCCTTGTACTGGTTCTTATACCGTATCGCATCGGTAACCAGTTTAGCATGGTCAACTGTTTCGACATTCGTCTCGGCTTTATAGTTCATGGTGCTCTGTCAGGCTTCGAGGCATTCTTATTACACCATTATGGCAACATACTTTGTTGCATAATGCACTAATAAAATAACAATTGCATCAAAGTAGAAGAAATCTCTGCATGATTCTTAAACTAACGAATTGATTATCGTACTAGCGTAAATTTAACAAGTTCTGGATTAGGATAGTTTAGGAAGTTACGGAATTAGGAGTTTTGTAACGCTATTGTTTTCAGAGACACGAGTCTGAACACGATGGCGGAAGTACCATCGAGATACCACTTTGCGGCTCATATGGGTCAACTGATCTCCGGCATAGAGGGTCAGGGCTGTCATAATTTTTATCCGAATTGCCCGCTGCCGGGCGTCAGCGTTCTGAACATGATGAAAAAGCGCCGTCGCTGACGGAGCCGAAACTACCACGACTGACAATGAGTTCGAGTCGACGATTTTTGAACCTGTGATATCGCGGATTTCCTTCTTTTGTGCTTACATCATTGACCTCATAAGGATTCTATTTGCGCAGTAATGAATCGCATTTTCAACGCGATTCAACGTGCAAATGATGTGCAAACTTCCGTGAAAGTAAAGTCAATTACTGGAGAAAAAGATATGCTAATGCTGACAGGTGCAAAGTTTCCTTTAAGTCGTTAAATATAGTTCCGCCTTGTGAATAGTTAATACTCAAAATCGTTAGAATTACAAAAATAATTTGAGATAATACCATTAATTTCTTATGTATTCAGTTTTATTAGATTTAACCTTTTTATAAGCTTTAAGGTATAAATATTATTTACTTTACAAAATTTCCGTCTGAATAATTCAATATTTGAACGACGATAAACGTACGTGTTTGCTCAATGATTTTATTTATTTATTTGTTAGCAAGTCATGTCTCGTACATAAATCTGCATTTTTGATACAATATAATCATGTACGATTTAGAAATTCTAATACACACAGAAATTCATTTGTACGTCAGTTATTTTTAATTTTATATTGTTATGCTGTATATATTATTGTACTCCGAAACAAAAAAATAAAAAAAGATAAATGAATTTTCGGACAATTTTAATAATTCTTACAGGTCCTCTGACACCGCTATAAGTTTGTTCTATACGATCCGGAAAATCGTGTACTTCCGTGGAAAGTCTCGCAGGGTACTTTGCCAAATTATCAAGAATCTCGATCTCCGCGCTATTCCCTATTCTTTTCCCTGTTTTAATACAAGACTGCCACTATCTCCGATATAATCCGGCGCCCAGCGGGGGAAAACGCGCGAAAATTATTACAATAATCGCCGGCGTCTTTATCGACTTAAGCTCGATGCCAAACTCCCGAGTGGACGTTTCCCAACGAGCCGTGCGATCATAAACGAGATCGTGCCAAGAGTCTCGGCAGGCAGTTAGAGCCGGCGCTATGCGCAAAGAGGAGCGGAATGTAATGCCAATGAAACCGCACCAGCCGTTCCCCTCGAAACAGCCAGCGATATTTGGGAAAAATTATCGCGCGATATCGCAGCTGGAGTTTATCGGCATTTCTCATGCCCAATCGGCGTCGCGCGATTTCCAGTTGCAATTCTGCTTCTCTTTCGTTATGCATTTATGATACATGAAGTGAAACAAATTTTTTTAACTTTACTAAAAGCGACGTATAATGTTATTAATTTATTTTATCGGTATCGATAAGTGAGACGTGTAATGCGTTATAATCGCTTCTAAACGGTCCCGTGAATATTCACGATGCGCAATCTAATACATTTCGATTGCATTCTGGCACGTAACATTGCGCTATGTATTGCATACATAACCGATTCGATAACAGGTTTTGGCAGCCGAAAGTAGGACAATAGAAGCAAAAAAGGAGAGAAAAACATTAACCGTTGAACAACGAGGCAACATGCAATTTACATGCGTGACATAATTAAGGCACTTGAAGCATTCATGATTGCCGTTTATAAAAATGCATTTTATTGAGACTGATATTTGTTCCAAGTAGATATAAATTTTATAATTAACAAGACACATTTTACATACTTTTTTCCAAATTTAGCGAACAATTTTTAACACAAAATTATATTTTGATTTATAATTAAATGAAAAATACAAATAATAGAAGTAAAGTTTTGAAGATTTGTCTACGAAGAATTATCCATCAAAGAAAATAAATTTCAAGATAATAAATAAGAGAAATTTGGGCGAAGGTTGTTGTCGAAGAAATTTCTAAATCGTGGTTATACATAATGTCGAAAGGTATTCTTGATACACCGGTTTGTATCAACCTTGCAAAAAGCGTGAAGTTTTGTTCATCTTAGATGACACGAAGTTCTCATGATGTACCAAATGTTGTAATACCATACTTAACTGTTGGATCGTGCATGGATCGCCGACGGGAAGGGGCGATCACTTTCTCTTCGTCGGCACCAACGACGACGGCCTCGTGGCACCTCGAGGAACATTCAGCAACAAGTTTTTACCGGAGCAGCAACCAGCCGCCGGTCCGTCGGCTGCATTTTTGATCGGTGGACAAATCGGGTGCATCAAAGTCACGCGGTATGTGGGCGCATCTGCGGAAGTGTATATTTCGAGCCTGTACACGCGACGATCGAACGAAAAAGATGTGTTAATTTCTGTATAAAAAAATAGCGTTACACTTGTGTTTAAAAATAGACTTTTTGCAAATATCAGGCGACAATCTGCTTTAAATTATTTAAATCTCAATTTTAATCGGAGTCATTATTAATAATTTTAATTAAAAAATATTTATATCGGCACGTTTTATTGGCATCGCATTGATATTGGCTTGTTTATCTCGAAACGATTGATTTATTCGCAGAAGTACGACTGGATGATTCATCATGTGTAGTGCGTGAGATTTCGTACTAGAATTTAATTAAAAAAGAGCAGTCATTTTGGAAAACACGAAGTGTAATTTATTAGTGCTGCGCTTTGAATTATTATTACAATTTGTGCTTTCATGGAACGATTATTCGAAATATAAAAATTAATTGAAATGTTATATTTAAAAATGCAAAAACTAATGTTTTATAGTATTAAAAGTCGTTTCTCTTTCAAGTGGAAGTAGTTGAGAAAGCTGCACGATAGAAGGAAGAGATAACCGCGCGCATTGTCGGAAGTTAATCTCGTCACAGCGTTACTTTACGTTAATTAACGAATGCCGTAGAATCCGCTGCATAATGCAGTTGCCACGGGCATTCTTGCTCTCTGGCTGCTGCTTTCTGGCGTTGACACTTGTGACGGCGGCACCCGCACAAGATGAGCCACTCTTCGAGCTTCCGGTGCAGCTGATCGGGTTTCCGGTAATTATAGCGAGCGTAAGAATCGCCAATTTCCTAAAGAAGCTCGCTTATTCCTTAAATCCAGGTAATGCATCCAGAATCACTTATCTTATACTAATATAATTCCTATTCACATTACGTGACAGACATAGCGCGTGTAATATATAATATAAATTACGAGCGTAAATGGATCGAATCGTAGAAGAAAATATGTACTTTTCCGTGTCCGTATTGCTTAGCGGAAAACTCTTATCGGTATCGTGATCCGCCAGGCGTGGCGAACAAAAATATCCGTTCTCCATATATTATAAGTCATTTCCCTTTCCCGTTTGGTTACAAAACACGCGAATCGAAACAGCGAACGCCGAAAGCGAGAGTGTTCCACTTGTTGCGACTTCTCTCTTCGAACCGGAGCGGTGTAACGATTCCGTAATTAAGCCCGCTTACCGCTGAAAGAATACATTCACCCGGAAATTGAAAAAACCTGAACATTGTTGTTATAAAATTTAAATCGCTTTTCAACCATCAGACACGCAAATTTAAACAATGCATTAATGTTTCCTGTATTTATTGAAAAAATTGTGATATTTATTTATCTACGCGACATTATTTCAATATTGCAAATAAATAGTTATTGAACCTTGATAAAGCAAACAAAATCTTGGGAAAATACCGCTTCCAACCGTATTCTCTTTGAATTCTTAGATACTTATGTCAGTCGAGTGAAACGAGCGCATCCTTTGATACTTGAGGAAGAGATTTTAGACGTCGGCCAAGTTGAGAAGAAGCTAATAGCCCAGCTCGGGAATAACGTTTGCATCTACGAGAGGATTTGTGCCAAATACGCGGAACGAACCCTTCAAAGAAGAAGTCGGAAGCATGTTATTGATTGGGACGAAGTGTTCAGGTATGATATATTATGACGATATTATAATTGCTTTGCTGATTCGATAATTTAAGCACTAGTTAAGTTATAATAATAAATATTGAAAAAAATATCGTCACAAGAAGGTTATTTTATATAATTGCTATAAGCTGCAAAATTAAAAACGTAGCATCGACAAATTCGGAACAAGAATGCAAACTGTCTTCTCACTGTAATTCATTTATAATTGTATTACGCAATCGTGACCCTGAGGTTCACGGATCAAAGAATCTATGCCTCGAAAGCGGATTTCAGAAAGGCATTTCTTCTCGATTGGGAAATATCATCGAAAACGTTTTATTAGCAAGTTCATTAGAGCAGGATAAGTCGTGCTACTTGTGCAGCAGCACGTAACTTTTCGTGCAGTACCGTGTTCGTTTTTGCACAATAATAACCATTTGCAATGCGTTATTAGCAACAAATTACTCAAAAATAATGAATGATAGATCTTTCTTAAATATAAGCTGATCTAATTTTTTTCAATGATAATAATTAATTACAATTGTGTAAATAAATTTTCTGATATTTTAAAAATTAATTTTATCTTATAGAAAATTATTATTGAATAGTTATTATTTGACGCAATAAATGTTTTAGTAATTAAAACTTGGGATAAAACTTTGAGAAAATTAACACGAATTTTTTAATTATTTTGTATTTTAGAAAAATATTACATAAAATTATGTTTTGCCAGACATTTAAGAAAACTATCTAACCAATAAGGATTAAATTTTAATCTATGAAAGATACATGACGCCTAATCCTAATTTATAAACCACTTGAAATATATCGGCAGCAACGATAAGATACCATATTAGAGATTTTTGGAAGATATGTACTCAGACCTCTCTCTCTCTCTCTCTCTCTTAATGACGAAATATTTTTTTCCCCTAAAGATATAATAGAAAATCCAACCATCGTGTCTACGTGTTCTATCCTCTCGCTACATCCCTCGTATCTATCTTGATGGAGCTTACACTAAATTCAGTTGTAAGCAACGCAGGAAGCAGATAGCTTTTAATGGCGCAGTACAATTGATGGCGTCCTAATGCATCTCGATAACCGCATTCCTCACTTCCGTAGCGCTCTTCTTCCTCATTTCGTAGTTCGCGTGTCCTGTCCAGGCTCCGTTTTATCGGTCGTTCCGCGGACCCACAGTTTTGAGAACTTGTCGGCTTATCTCAGACTTCCTAATGCCCCGCGGCGCGAGATAGCGAGCACGTGTCGCCGTTGTCTGTCGACGCACGATACATCTCTCGTGGTGCGCAACATTTCGTATCCGACTCGCCTTCTCGTCACCTGCAGGCACCGCGCAGTAGGAGCGCTTCAGGTAAGAGAGAGAGAGAGAGAGGGTACGCGGAGGGAGCGCAGAGCGAGAGGAGGAGGGCAGATAAATTGGAGATCAGGTACTGGCGGCAGCTACCGTCTAGACGGGTTTAACCGACCGTGGATGAAGGACGAAGCCGTCCCGAGATCATCCCGGGCGCCTTTTCCTGACCAGAAACGGAAAAGCGGTCGATAGAAGGATTGTGAGTGAAGTGGCGTCGTTAGAAATTAGGAATCCATTTGGAGACGTCGAGGAGACCATAACGATGAGGCGATAAGATAACTGATTGTTTTTAATAGGACGTTTTGAAGCTACGGCACGTGAAACGGCACGTGAAACACGCGTTTAACATTGTACTTCCCATTTGTATCTTGAATTTTCATTTCAATTTTAATGACGCAATTTTTATGGAGTTTTATTTTCGATCTGATATCTCTTACGTGAAATCTAGAATTAGCACATTTGTATCGGTACGATAATTATTTTGTATTTATTACAATTTTACAGTGAGTACAAATCATCGCCCGAGCCGATGAAGGAGAATTACTTGCTGAGCGTCTTTCTAGGCGATATTATTGGCAGCCCGAAACTGTGTCATTTACTGGCGAAGAGAGGGAGAGCCTGCGATAATGCCGAATTGTCGGATTAAACTGAAATTGCGACTCTTTTTCTTATGGTTATTTACTTGTAAATATTTTGATGCCATAGATCTAATCATTCGTGTTTACAATGTAAATTATTAAATTTGTTATTTATGTAG